ACTCAGATTTCACTCTACATGGCGAATTTTACTAGCTGGTGACTCAGGTTTCACCCTGCTCTATTAGGATTATATGTGCTGTCAAGAGGAATAATAGATTCAATATTATTCGGCTTTAATGATTTTCCACGAACCTTAAATATAAATAAATTATTAATATATATTAAAACTTTATAATAAATAAAAATAAAACTAACTTACTTAGGGTCAAAGTAATTGCCATTGTGGGATAGAATCACAATAAAACCGTTTAACCAGAACTTTGATCAACAAAGTTCTTTTCAAGTAAATACACTTTTGGCAAGGTGTCGTTCAGCTTTAATTATCGATTCAGTAGTTCAAACGGATTTCTTCTAATGGATAATGGTTAACATTTTTTTTTAATATGAGTAAATACAATATATTTATTATATAATGAATTGCATAGTTCGTCCGGAGCGAAGCGAAGGACTATGTATTTCCGTGTTTGTTTGTCTGTCCGCCACGTAATGATCGTCAATTCACATTTTAGCACATCATGCGTTATTTGCATTATTTATAAATAAGTAAAACGTATTATATATATATATATATAGGACTTAACAATGTTATGCATTTACCTAGTTTTAATGATATTTTTTAAAATCAATTTTAAACCAACAATTTTTATTTCAAATGTAATGCCAAACCTGTAGTTTCATTTGTAGTCTTTAGTTTCATTCTGTAGAAGGCTGTTCTTTGGAACATAATCACGTCACATAAAGCTTAAAAGCCAGTGAAAACATGTTACAGAGAAGTGTCGAAGGTCTAGAATGAAAATGGAAAATTTTAAAATTTATGAAGAAATTTAAACATAACGTGTTTAATCATACGTACGTGCGTACAAGTTCAGTAAACATCTCAGATTAGATGTTACACCGATGTGCTACCAATTTTATTTAAATTTTTATAATTACCGTTACGATTATAAAAGTTCAAATCTAATGTCCTGACCTCATTACATTCATTTATTCATTTATTGTAAAATTACACACTTTAAGACCATCCATTTTATACAATAATAAACAAATAATAATGTGGCTTTCCGACACACAAAGTAGGTTCGAAGTTGCTGTCGAAAAGAACTAGTTTTGTTTTCTACATTTTAAAATGTTTTGTTCGCAATTTAGAGATTGGTGTCGGGTTAACAGCCTTTGGATCCTTTTTTATGCTACTCGGCGTTTTGCTTTTATTTGATGGAGGCTTACTGGCCATAGGCAACGTATGCTATATTTATCTTACTAGACGTTTAAATTTTAAACCCATTTAATTTTCATTTTATTAATTATAACTTTTTATTCACAGATACTATTTCTATCAGGAATAACGTTGATTATTGGTTTTAATAAGACACTAATATTTTTTGCACGAAGGAATAAAATCCGGGGAACTATATGTTTTTTTGGAGGAATTCTTATGGTATTTCTCAAATGGCCAGTGTTGGGGATGGTGATCGAACTGTTTGGTTTCCTAAATCTATTCGGGTGTGTAATTTTCTAAAATTAGTTAAATTTTTGAAATTTTAGAAATTTTGTTAAATTTCTTATCCTAAAATTATTGCAGCGATTTCTTTCCCGTCATCGTCAGCTTCCTTCGGAAACTACCTATAATTGGAAGTTTATTGAACGCACCTGGTATTTCTCAGGTGCGCCTCATTCATTATTCTCGTCAGTTTTTTCTTACGATAACAATCTAATAGTTACCATTTGATTTTGTATATTGCGAATAATTACTAGGTCGTTGACAAAATTACCGGTTCAAAGTTACCAGTGTAGCAATGGTCGGGTAAAAAAAAGCTTGTAACTGTTAATCAAAACTTAAAAAAGACATCAGGATGATTGGTTGGTTTGAAGATGACGATAATTACAATAATTAAATTTGTAGTTAATACATTTAGATGATAGGCAAATATACATTTAATTTAATGTCAAAAAAAAAAACGATTATATTTTTTAATAATAAATAAATGATAATTTTATCAAAGAGAAAAATATAGGGTTGTTAATGGATTGGATTGGGTCAACATAAACCAGCTTGGAGTGCTATGTTCTAATATAATGCTCTAGTTTGGTCACCAGTTCAGCAAACTAAATATTCTATTTAATGTATTTATAACTGGCGCATTATTTAAAGATGGTCGATACTTATTTATAAGATTGGAATTAACCTCAATTACTCAAGAATTTCGCTAACAAAATTAATCATATTTTGGTAATGAGATTGATTGCAAAGTTTCTTTTTGCAAATGTATATCTAGCAATTGTATGATTAGGATTACATAAATTTTTCCTAAATTTTGAGATATTATTTATTCGAAAAAAAAAACCATATAAATATTAACTAATCAACCAATCAAAATCGAATGCCTGTAATACTTACTAATTTATATTTGTCATGTGATTTTTAATTTACTCAATTCTGCAATTACGGGAATTAGTAATCAAATTAACTGTCTCC